ATTATGTAACTGACATGAAAATTCATCATTACATTAATGTTAGGGACTTGAATCAAAATTTGAAAACTAATAAGGTTTCAGTTAATGAACATTAGTAACTAGGGACCGGATACTAATTTTTCCTAAAAAAAAAAAAAAAGCCATGCTCAAGACTAGTCAAAACATTTAATCAGAATATATAACGATATTGCAATAACCTAGCTAATTCGTATGAATAAACACGTACCTGCAGAAGTAGATATGATGAATGCCTGCAGAGTTTGGTCTTCTATTCTCTAAGTTTCGACAGAGTTTTACTCTCAATAGGACGAGTACATAATGAACAAATTAAGCCGAGAAGAGAGGCCAAGACATGTTTTAATTAGATTATAACTGCTCCTCCTATCATGGCAGCAGTTATAACTTCCCTTTATTTCAAAATTGAGTTCATTAGATTTCCTTCCATAATGTTCAATAGTAGTTTAAACATTATTAAGTCTAATACCAAGTCCATTCAATTTTTTTTTCTTGGTCAAACTAAGTTACTTCCATTAAATAAAAAGACTAGTACAAGAAAAAGAGAGCCCAATACGCAACCTACAACCTAAATACTGTCCAACAGGAAAAAACAAATACAATATAAAAGCCCAAAAGGACCTAACTGAAAAACAACAAAAACCCGAAAATTAAAGAAGAAACCAGCAGCCACCACCAAATCTGATGCGCCTCCATTACAAGGCCACCACCACTTATAAGTCGACATATATCCTTAAGTGATAGGTTGATCTTACTTACTCACCTTATGAAAAACTCTTACACTAAAAAGTTAGTTTACCTACCATTACTCTTAATAAAGATCAAGATATTCTACACTTTTTTGAACTTCTATTGAGATTCTCTTGACAAATTGTTGCATTCTCGTCAAATATATGAATGCAGAAAGTATTACATACTTTGGTCTTAATTCCAAAACACCACAAGACGTAATTTGAGTGGGCGTGAGTTGTGATACACTAAGGACAGTTATTAGTGTTGAATTATAACCTCATAAATTAAACCATAAATGATAAATGCTACAATTTTTTGGTGGCCTGGCGTCACTGCAGTGTACCCATTATTCAAATAGACATGAAATTAACACCTTATATGCTTTTCTTACTTGATAGAAGAACAATTAAGGACCACATTGCAGTGCCCTACCCTACTGTTATTGACCATGAGGCTACAATATACTCATTAAAACCATACATTATCTTCCATATACTAAACATATTTTACATACGGCCACCAGCCACCGGTCACAATCATATCTTGTATGACCAAGTCCCGTGGATGACGATAATCTTGCACACAGAGTCAATTAATGGTAGGCCTTAACCAACAATGCTTGATGCATCAATTTTTTGTCAAACCTAAGGGGACTTGTTGATAATGAATCTTATATTAATTGGAGTAGGAATCTTGCATGGGCTTGTAAGTAAGTTTGGCTACTTTCTATGTTGACAATTAGTTTTCTGATGGAACCCCAACTTTTTTCAAACCCGTTACAATACACACAACAATGCAACTGGCGTGAAACGATGCTGGACTATTGATAGTGTTGATCCATCAATGCGACAATGATTTATTTATCCATGTCTCAACAGTTCTGTTCGGGTTAGATTCATCCCTCGCATAACTCTCCTTGTCTTGCCTTGTCTGGCAAGGTTTGTTGCTTGGTCTTCTGCAATATATGTTTATTGTTAGTTGAATGGTGCCTTTGTGGGGCCTTTATTAGGCCCTGAGGCTCACAATCAATACTAACATGGATTTGAGCATGTCACTGTTCTTTTTGTTTAACATATTGTTTATTGGATTGTTTGATTAGTCGATTTCTTGCTCTACAAGTCACTATGACTTCTTGTAATAACTGGATTGTTCGCAGATGGGTTAAGTCTGTATTAAGTTCTTTTCCTTGCCTTTTGATTAGGACTTTCATTTATAATATCATGTGTTCATTCAAAAAGGAGCTCAGGGTCATTTTCATTAATTCCTTAATTATTAGTTTAGGTAGATGGCTAGGAAGCAAGAGTAGTTAGTTTAACAGGATTAAGTATAACTAAAACTTGAATAGGCTTAGTCAAAATTGACATGAGGTTTAATGGAAGATGCAGAAATAACAGATCTATTCTACATAAAATACAAATAAAGGAGATTCGAGCAAGATTACAACCTTGCAGGCAAGGTTCGTCTTCTTGCAGATGCCTCTCCTTGTATTCAATAGTGATTGAAAACTTGGAAAAGTAAATACAAACGAGATTTACTAAAGGGATTCGATGCTACAACAAAGGGAATGGTAGCAAAGCTTCTAAAACTAGACAAAAGAGAATTTTCTATGGTGGACCTGCGATTTTGAAAGGGACAAGGGATCAACAAACTAAAGCTTTTATGTCTTTGAGTGAAATGAGAATTGCTTGATTGATTGATTGAAAGTTATTTCTTGTGTCCTCCATGGTTTTTATAGACTTTCAAGCTCGATTGTCCAAGCCTTCCCTTTTGGTGAGGGCTTCCAGAGCACGGTGAGTCACCCTTACCTTTTGTTAATTACCTACCAATGCCACGGAAAAATACTTTTTGCTGAGAGTGAGCTGCCCTCTGTCCCTTGTCACTTCTCACATAGACTTGCTGCCTATTCCTTGGTAAAAAATGATTTTAAATTCTTATTGGGCTGCCAACTGTCTACGCTTAACCTCTTTCTGTTTTTCGCATCTCTGGACTTTTAATCGCACCAAGTCCATCATTAAATATCCACCCAAACAAGTACAACGATGGGATGAAAGATGAAATGGAAATGGATACGAAGACGTCAACCGTTGAACAATAACGTAGCGATTATCTATCGATCCAGATCTCAATAATTTCACATTTGAAAAAAATATCAAAATCCCAAATTTCATTGTGTTTTGGGGGAAGAGAGAGGCATGACGCTGATGATGAACTCCGACCAATGCACAGGGGTTTTCCTTGGTTTGATAGTTTTTATTTATTTACTTCTTGGATCAGGCTTTGGGTTTTTGGTTTAAAAAATGGGTACTTTTAACCCGATCGGACAATAAACCTGTGTTTCTATAAAAACTTAGAGTCTTGTGCATAATGCCAGGGCTGCTAAAAACTGGAGTCTACACAGATCAATCGGCTCAGTGCCCAAATTGTTTTCAGGGAACAGTCTCGGTGCTTGTTTTCCATTTGGGCTTGCTATGAAAGTTATCTTTTCACTAAAATAATTATGCCGATTGTTAAAAGAAAAACCACATGTCGAATCGTTAGCAGCCCTAAACTATCTTCAATCACATTTGTTGGAACTGAACTCAACGAAATCATGGCCATCAACTAAAAGATACAGTTGAAAAGGTTTATACATTGATTTGATGGCCATGATCTCATTGAGTTCACTTCGTAAGCTCAAGGATTTGTCCAAGAATACATTCTTTTGACTCTATTAACTCCATTTAATATGCTCTTTTTTTCAATCATATAGACAAATGAGATCGATCATATAAAATTTGAAACTGTAGTCTAAAGGCATGGATCCAACCACCAATATTAGAGCAGGCTGAGCCTTCTAGGTGAGAAGAATAGTGAGTTTAGGAATTTTTCCAATTTGGAATCGACTAGAGTCTAGAGCGTAACCCTTGTTCCATGTTCGTTGAAGACAACGGATTCTTGATTAGGCTGCCTGTATAGAACAATTCTCACTATGTAGAGGTCGAGCTATGAAGGGACTAGGATGGTTCCAGGCCTATTTTGACATTTTTTTTTCACGCATAAAAGTTTAGTGTTATGCTTATGACTTTCAAAACCTTTTTCATAAGCTCAGAGCTCTAATCTGACGTTTTCACTTTAATTTCTTTCATTGGGTTTGATTTGAGGTCGGTGACTCTAATGGAGTTCAAGCAATCCGTTGCTTGTGAGCTTTGAGGAGGAGGGAGAGAGAAAGAATGTCGGAAATGCTTGGGGTTTAGGTTTAAATAAAAGGATGATGAGTACGACATCATACTAGACCTACACAACAGTGGTCGGTTGCTCACCACACAGTAGAGTAATTTTCGTGAGATCGAAAAAGCGTTTCAGATTGAAACTTTTCGCCCCTTCTAGGTTAAAATTTTGGCTCAACCACTATCACTACTATAAATCATTGTTAAGTCAAGCAAGACCAAAATACAATATGTTTCATAATCATAAGATTGGTAAGACATGACACGTGATCAACTGCTTGATCCAAGATTTTCCTACTAAAAACACCATAAATATCGGAGGATATGTGTATCTAAACTATCTATTAATAGAATCCTCTTTGTCAATCAAAAGATGGTGAAAAAATTATTTAGTCTTCTACCACAGAAAATATATAATGGGCAATAAAATAATTTCACAAAATCAAATTTGCTGTTTTTTATTAAAACATCATCTACACGTGATTTTAGTATATATCCAATATAAAAAAATTAAAAAATAAAAAATAAAAAATAGAAAACAAAAAACTCTCCCCCGACTTCTACGTTCTCTATCTTCCTTTCTCTTTTCCATTAAAAAAACGAAAAAAAAAAAAATATTCACACACACAAAATATATAGGCATATGCTAGTATTTTGTTAGATCCCACATCGTCCAGAGGAGTGGATCCTCTATGCCTTAAATGTACATACCCACCTCTATATAGTATGAGGCATTGACTTTGGACTTCATTAGAAATCTAAAACGCTTTTTTGATCTCACTGGTTTCTCATGTGAGTTTCCAAAAACAAAACCGTAAGGATGTGATCAGAGTCCAAAACGGATAATATCGTGTTACGACGAAATCGAGCCTGGAATGTGGTGGAGCCCGGGTCGGGACGTGACATATTTAATACTCCAAGATTTGAAAACCAACACCTTAACCTTAGCTCACCTTAATGGGCCTTAATCTCACATCTGTCCCGCGCCCTGATTTAGCAACCGCGCGCGCGCCAGCGCGCCAAACTCAATTTTTGTTCCCGCTAAAAATGTCAGCTTTATCAACATCTCCCACCCGTTTCTTCCCGCGTGTTCGAAACCTCGCCCGCCTGCACGCCATTTCCATTGTCTCCCATCACAATGCCTGCCATCGCCAAACGCAACCTCGAGCTCAACGACGACAGCATGCCCGTCCAATGGGAGAGTACGCCCCCTGCTGTCAGATCCGCCGGAGATTCGACACCTCCGAGGCGGAGGCTCAGATCCAATTCGTCGCCGATGAAGCTGAGCCCGATCTCCAAGCCCATGAAATTGGAATCGCCCCGAAAGCGGCTAAGTGCTTGCGCCAACACTCAGGCAAATGTGAGATTTGATTTGATGTTGAGATGTTGAAACCGCGAAGTAAATTTTCAAGGCTGATTAAGTTGTCGATTTAATTTCGTTGATTAATTTGGAATCAATTTCAGGGAATTGAGAAGTATTTCACCCAGAAGAAGGTTCAGACTTTGTGCAAACCAGTCGAAAAATCAGTTGAGAAACTGAAATGGAACCCGAAAGGTGAGTATGTTTCAAGCGAATTGGCAAATTGTTTGTTTGGTATTTAAATTGGCAAATTGATCTGGTTGGATTTGTAGATGGCAAGCAAATCAGCGAAGTGAAGGAGGCATTGCATGTTTCAACCGTGCCGCCAACTGTTTCATGCAGGGAAGATGAGCAGAAGAGGGTTTTGGAGTTCTTGAAGCAATGTATAGAGCAAGAGAAGGCTGCGAGTTTGTACGTGTGTGGGTGTCCTGGGACCGGAAAATCGCTGTCCATTGAGAAAGTGAAGCAGGCTTTGGTTGATTGGGCAGGAGAGGTGAGCTAATTGCACCTCAATGATACAATGTGCTTAATTGTACAAATATTGTAGAACCTTTAAAATGTATATGATTAATTGACATGTCCGAAAAATGTGTTACTTCGATACAAAGTATTAATTAACACTGGGAATTGTTCTTATTGCCAGGCCGGATTTGAGGAACCGGATGTGTTGGCTTTGAATTGTTCTTCTCTAACAAAGACTTCTGATATTTTCACTAAGGTAACGATACTCGAAAGCTTATTCTGTTGTTGGTTGTAAGTTATAACAGATGATGTGCTCACATTTGGTTTGTATTGGCAGATACTTGGTAAAGACCAACCGCCGAAGAAAGTTAAAAGCAAAACCTCATCCCTGCAGCTTCTACAAAATTTGTACTCCCAGAAGCCTTCGTCTTCTAGAAGGAAGATGACGTAAGTAATTTATCCTCGTTCAAAAACAAGCTGTGTGTAACGTTTAACGGCCGCATAAACACGCGTTGGTCTCATCTTAGTACTTTGGATGTAATAAAGAGTGGTTATACTGAAATGGTTTCTATTTTATCAGGCTGGTAATAGCTGATGAATTGGACTTCTTAATTGCTAAAGACCGGGCGGTGCTTCATGATCTTTTTATGCTCACAACGTACCAATTTTCGAGATGTATACTCATAGGTACTGAATCTAGTTGATATAAAGTAAGGTCAATTGAAAATTTGTAGTTATATGTGAAGGCTTCATATTATATATGGTTTTGCAGGAGTGGCAAATGCCATAGACCTAGCCGATCGTTTTCTTCCAAGGCTTCAGTCACTAAATTGTGAGTTGAATAGCTTTTGTTACCTCGTTTTTGTTCAATGAGAAGCTGGACTGTATTTCGGGTGTAGTATTTACCAACAACTAGTATGCTTACAAATTATATTCATGTTCTAGGCAAACCTATCGTTATTACTTTTCGGGCGTACTCTTGTGACCAGATTCTCAGGATTCTTCAGCAGAGGCTAATAGTAAGTTTGGGCCTTTCGCTCATGAATTAATCGCGAGCGTGAATTAGGAATATTTTTGTTCTCCCTTGCTGTGGAGTAATCAAATAAAAGTTGTTCTCTCTTATTGTCTCAGTATATTTACCAAGTACTAACAGTTATTGTGTTCCAACAGACACTACCTTACACCGTCTTTCAACCACCAGCATTGGAACTTTGTGCCAGAGTGAGTTTGCTATTGTTATCATATTTTCCGGAAGATCGTTAATTATTTAGATGTTGTCAATCTTTATATTACATGCATATAGGCTGAGTACTTACTATGAAAAATGGCAGAAAGTTGCGGCTGCATCTGGAGATATGAGGAAAGCACTTTGTATTTGCAGGTTAGTTTTGCTGAGTCACATCATAAATTCTACAAAAGGTGTTTGAATTTGACCATTCTGGTTAATTGGAATAGACATGGGCTGTGCAATTGTAATGGTGCAAGTTAAGAACAAGCACTTTAGATTCATCAATGTATCCGAAAATGTAAATGCCTTGTAAAGTTACGAGTCATATTAATGTCAGAAACTGCATCTATATATGTCTGGCTACTTTTGACTGTTTTTGTAGGAGCATTGCGTGGGATTATGAGCCTAACTGTTCCTAACTGTTTTCCAGGAGTGCAATTGAGATTCTGGAAGCCGAGGTGAAAGAATCTACTGATAACTTGAATTCATCACCAGTAGTGGACACATTCGTTGAGCAGCAGACGGCTCCTGCTCCAGCTCCTGTTGGGAAAAAACAGGAGATTGATGTTGTAAGTGATCACCCTGGTCCCCACATGCTTCAGAACTTATCCGAATCAGCAAACTGACAGATGTGACGCATTCATTTCAGTTCATTCATACATTCCTGCAACAAGATTTCACAAATTTTTCAGTTCCATTATCTTTATTTGATTCATTTTTTAACTCCAAAAGTTTCAAGTAAACACTTTCAATTGTGAAAAAACCTAAAAGTTTCACAATGCGTACTTCATTTTTTTGAACTATTTACGTTCTAAATTTTCACTTATGTGTGTTGCAGGTGACAATTGGTCATATGGCTTCTGCTTTGTCAAAGACATTCAAATCACCAGTAGTGGACACCATACAAAGTCTTCCGCAACATCAACAGGTAACCCTTTTTCTAGTGACTTGTACTTGTTGAATGTAGGCTATGGGCTTTTTAAGTATTCCAATAGTTCCGAGCCATGAAACGAACTTAAAGATTGGCATCCTATCATTAATTTTAATGCAAGTGTCCTATTTCACCACAGATTATACTTTGCTCTGCCGTGAGGCTTTTCCGTGGAAAAAAGAAGGATTCAACTGTAGCACAGGTATGTTTCCTTTCCATTGTTTGATGATAAACGATAACAGTAGCATGTAAAATTTACGTTACTGATTTCTGTATTTTTCACATATTTGCAGCTAAATAAATCTTATATAGACATCTGCAAATCAACACTAATCCCACCAGTCGGAATTTTTGAATTTTCAAGTATGTGCAGAGTGCTAAATGACCAGGTAAGAAAATACGTCTATTAGTATAACATTCCTTGTATTGGCGTTCCCCGAGAATATGCTATTAGATTTGAATGCGAATTTACAACTTGGTAACGGAGAAACAAGTTAGTTACTGAGGCATAATCTACGTGCAGGGGCTCCTGAAATTGGGCGGTCAATCTCGAGATGAAAAACTTAAAAGAGTGACAATGAATGCAGCAGATGAAGCAGACATCACTTTTGCATTACAGGTGAGGACACAATATATCCAAGCCTCTTATAACTCTGCTTTTTCTTTATGTTATATTCTTGTAATTTCTTTCAGCTTGTTGATGATTACCTCTTTATGTTTGAACAGGGAATTCGTTTCTTTCAGAACTGTCTTCAGTAGTTATGTTCAAAGAATATGCACTCCAGATTTTTCTTATGCTTAATACTGGCGACTCTGATTTCGCACCTGCTTCAAAATTCAAATACAAGGTCTGAAACCTTCCTTTTTACAAGTTTCTCGAAATACAATGCCTTGAATACGAATTGCGCATCTCATATTTGGAACTGAATTCTTCAACCATAAAAAACGAACACCTTAGCATAGGGTTAGCAACATGCTGGTAAACAGATTATCCATTGCACAGTTGAAATCGGAGTCCTGTGAAAACTTTCCTGCACATAATTTGTGTGCTAAAGTTACCATACCTTGGAATCCAAGTATTGACCATTTACTCATCAATATTTATCTTGCCAGTTTCCGTTACAGGTTGCTTTATATCTTATAGTTTCATATTACTGTCTGAATGCAGATTTCCGACGATGAGAAGCATCTAATTTCAGACCAGTTTCTGCCTCGTTCAATTTTGCCATTTCATTCTTTAAAAAGATGACAGAACAAAACAACAGAGAAAAGTTGTTGAATTAGTTTATGTTATACATGTAATACAGAAGATGTAACTTATTTTGTATAAACATAAGAATGTAACTTTGTCATTGCTCTTTGTTTTAATACATTCTTCTTTCTTAAAACATAATAACGTTTATTTATTTACATGCTTTTACTACAAAGGTTTAGGTTGGGTACATAGACGTTCCTCTGACACTCGGAAAGCAGGGAGCTTTGTTCGCTTTTAGGGTTGTCCCTTTGCTACAAAGATATATATGGATATTACTAGGATCAACATTTATCACAAAACCACAAAAAAAAGTTTCTATCCAACAAGAGTGTTCCTGATGGAACGAAGTTCAGATTCAGCATCACCGATATTCTTTAGCCGAACTGTAGGGGATTCAGCAGAACAAGTGATTCCAAGTCTAAATATTGAACTCAAGCACGCCTCAGTTTTTGGAGCTCCTATGCTGCACTGATCGGTGCCTCCTTGAAGAAGTGGTGCATCCACAATCTCGGTCACACGCTCAGGGATAGCCATCTTGACAAAATTATGGAGGTTCAAGTTGTTGCTAAACATGTCATCAGTGGGTCTCTTCCCCGTGAACATCTCCAGCAGTAGAATGCCAAAGCTGTAGACATCTCCATTTGTCGACGCCTCGCTTCCCATTCCATACTCTACATATATTGGTAAGTATAAGAAAATAATACTGTGACCACAACCGTAAATAAATAGCTTTGCTTGTATTGTGCATATGCGATGAGGATATGTACCTGGAGCAGCATAACCAACCGTTCCTCTTATACCGATGGAACTTGTCTGAATCTGATTTTCTGAAACATTACCTGGTAATTGTGAGGGAAACCGTGCTAATCCAAAGTCCGAAACATGTCCAGTCAACTCGGTGTTCAAAAGAACATTGCTTGGCTTGAGATCACAATGAACGATTGGTGTTTCGCAATGATTATGAAGATAATCCATTGCACAAGCAACATCAATTACAATGTCGAGCCTCTGAAGAAGGTTTAAATTCTTGGATGCATGATCTCTTACCTCTTCAATTCCAGTAGGCGGATGCAGCCAATCTTCTAAGCTTCCGTTGTCCATGTACTCATAAACCAGAGCTTTGAAGTCATTACCATGAAAATCAACACTTGAACATGCAGTTATAATCTTAACAAGATTTCGATGCCTGATATTTCTCAAAGCCTCACATTCTGATATGAAACTCCTCGATGCTCCATGGCGTAACAAGTTAAACACCTTCACTGCAACAAGGTGGCCTTTATCAACATCATCGTCATTGTCAGCAAGAAGTCCTTTGTACACAGACCCGAAACTACCCGCACCCACCAAATTAGCCGAAGAGAACCCGTCAGTAGCTTTTAGGAGAGTAGCATATGATACTTGTAAGAATGAGCTCTCTGAAGTAGTCAACGGAGTTTGTTTCCTTTTCTTTCTTGACAAGCAAACAAAGATACAAGACAACACCATGACTAGAAGAGCAATCCCGGTTGCTAAAATTAACTTTTCCAAGCTACGAGATAATCCTCCTTTCTTAAACTCTTTGGACTTGCACTTGGGCAGCTGGAGAATAGCAATACCGCCGCAAAGCCTGGTGTTGCCAGCTATTGAAATTGCACTTGCATTCTTGAAAATACCTCCAGTTGGTACTTCTCCCCAAAACTCATTGAACGATAGGTTTAGATTCTTTATCAAGATAAAACTGCCTACAAACTTTGGAATTTCACCTGACAAGTTGTTGCGAGAAAGGTCTAAAGAATCAAGCGCTCTCAACGAACCCATTGATGAAGGAATGGGGCCCTGAAAGACGTTGCCTTGCAAGTTTAGGATACCTAAACTCACACAGCTACCAAGGCTAGGAGGAAGTTGTCCGGATAACATGTTATCAGAAACGTCCAGCAGAGTCAGACTATTCGAGTTTCCAACCTTTATGGGCAGTGGACCGGTGAGGTGGTTTGCTGACAATCTCAAATCAATTGACAGAGGGAAGGCCAATAACTTGTTGGGGTATTGCGCCACTGAGGTTATTGTCTGAAAGATCCAACCGTTGCAGCTGCTGGCATTTCCCTAGGGTTGAAGGGATGATGCCCTGAAGATTATTACTTCTCAAGAAGAGGAGGTTTAACATGGTTAAATTTCCTAGAGAGGATGGAATACTGCCCGATAATTTGTTTGAAGAAATGTCTAATTCTACTAGCCTTGAAAGCTTTCCGATGTCAGTCGGGATGCTACTCGAGAATCTATTACTCGACATAGCCAACGATTCCAAGTTGATCAGATTCCCTATGCCAGCCGGGATGCTTCCATGGAGCGGGTTCTCGGATAACCAAAACTTTGAAGCTTGATTGAGAGATTAGAGATTGATACCGGCAATGTCCCTCCAAAGTTGTTAGTATTTATCAACATCAACTCTAACTCTGTGGCATTGTTCAAATCTGACAGAAAACGCATGTCACCGTCGGCGCCACTTCCGAAGTGATTATATTGAATGTTGAATCTCACAAGCTTATGAAGCTTCTCAAAATTCGGCAGCGGTCCGATTAGGTTGTTTACTGCAACGTGAAATGCCGTTACACTAGTGGCAATTGGACATTGAGAGAGGAATTGATCCGGAAAATTGATTGCCGGCAAGGTTAAAGATTTGGAGATTAGGGAGAGTTTTATCCAAATCTGAGGGAATACTCCCTTGAATTTGGTTATTTACGACGGAAAAAGTAGTAACAGCAGAGAGGTTATAGATGGAGGGAGGGATTGTACCAGACAACTTATTAAAGCCCAATGAAAAAAATGTTAATTGTTTCAATCTGCCAAGAGAACTTGGGATATCTCCGACCAAGTTATTCCTGTAGACACTAAGGGCCTCGAGAGATGAAAGGTTCCCCAAAGACGGAGGGATCTCTCCGGTTAAATTATTTACTTCTACAACAAATGATCCAAGCTTCGGCAACGCGCCGAGTTCCAAAGGAATTTTGCCCACCAGCTTGTTGTAACCTAAATTTATATTGTTGAGGCTGAAGCAATGAGTAATATTGTCAGGAATGTCACCAGTAAATGAGTTTTATAGTAGACTCAGTACCTCCAGTCTACGCAAGTTCCCGATTTTGCGAGGAATTTCATGACCAAATCTGTTGCTGTCCAGCACCAACTCCCTTAGGAAACTCAGGTTTCCAACGTGTGGCGATAGGGATCCTGCTAGGTTTTGAGATGGTAGGCTCAGCTTTGTGACCCTTTGGCGATGTCGTCGACCGCATGTGATGCCCGGCCACGTGCAGAAGTGAACGGAACCGTTCCAAGAGCTCATGATCTGATGAGGGTCGTCCGTTATTTGAGATTTGATGGCTAGCAACTGCCAGCATATCCGTCTCGTTCCCTCCCGGTCTCGGTTGCATGGAGCTCCAACAGCAAACGAAGAACACTGCACTGAAAAGTGAGTAAATTAGAATCAATTTCACAAGCAAAGCCCTCATTTTTTTGATTTGGGTTTGTGAGGCTGGTTGTTTGTGTTTGTGTTTGAGACAAACTGTAACTTAAGACGTTGTCAGTTATGGCCCTATGGGTGTGTAGTAGTTACATGTTATCAATCTGCAATAAATTACAAAACTTAGTCATTTGAGGCGGCCATTGCTGCAGCCACGGAAATTGGAAGGTGGTGGGCCATTCATTCTCAATATCAACTAAACTTGATGTACCGAATCGTATTTCTGACACATTAAAAAATCCTTTTTACAACTTATAACGTTGTAAATTATGGCCCTTATGAGTGTGTAGTTGTTGCATGTTATAAATACGCAATAACTTACTAAACCATAGTCATTCAACACGGCCATTGCTGCAGCCATGGAAATTTGAAGGTGGTGGGGGATTCATTCCCAATCAACTATATTTGGTGTACTGGTGTGTTTCTAACCTATTTAAAAATATCTCCTATAACTTATTACGTTGACAATTATGACCCTTATGGGTGTGTAGTAGTTGCACATTATAAATACCCAATAAATTACAAAACGTGGCCATCGAGGCGGCCATTAATTGCTGCAGCCATGGAAATTTCAAAGTGGTGGGGATTTCATTCCCAGTCTGCACAATGTGGACATATACATGGTTGTGTTGTGAGGGTCATGAGAGAAACTGTAGTAAGAAGTTAGGGTTCGTTTTATAATTATTTTGTTTTTAGTTTTTTTTTGTAATTAAAAATAATGACAAAATACAAGAAACAAATGAACGATGAACCCTAACTGCATGAACAACAACATATTTGAACTTAGGAAGATGTATTCAATTGAGATTTTGAGAGATTTTAATTCTTTTAAAATAGGTTATTAAAATTCTTAAAAATCTAGGTGTATTCATATAAGATTTTAAAGAATATAACATTCCAGGTGTATTCGATTAGAAATTTATTTTAAAGAATTTTAAAAAGTCGAGGAATTTGAAGGAATTGGAAAGGTTTCGTAGTGTAGGTGTCACATACCGGTCCGGGCCTCCACCACATCCCGGGCTCAACTCTACCGTAGCACGATATTGTCCGCTTTAAGCCCCGACCACGCCTTCATGATTTTGTTTCTGGGAACTCACACGAGAACTTCCCAATGGGTCACCCATCCTGGGATTGTTCTCGCGCACTACTTGCTTAACTTCGGAGTTCCTACGGAACCCGAAGCCAATGAACTCCCAAAAGGCCTCATGCTACGTAGAGATGAGAATATACAGGATCCACTCCCCTGGGCGATGTGGGATGTTACAATCCACCCCCTTAAGGGCCCAACGTCCTTGTCGGTACACCATGGCCAGGGTTAGGCACTGATACCAAATTGTCACATCCCGGCACGGGTCCCCACCACATCCCAGGCCCAACTCCACCTTAGCACGATATTGTCCATTTTGGACCTCGACCACGCCCTCACGGTTTTGTTTCTGGGAACTCACACGAGAACTTCCTAATAGGTCACCCATTCTGGGATTGCACTCGCACGCTACTCGCTTAACTTTGGAGTTCCTACGGAACCTGAAGCCAGTGAGCTCCCAAAAGGCCTCGTGTTAGATAGATATGTGAATATACATATAAGACTTACATGATCCACTCCCTTGAGCGATGTGGAATGTTACAGTAGAAATCTTTGCAAATCAATTAAACTCCATAAAAATCTATAGATTTATAAATCCATTAAAATCCCTCAAAATCTCAATTGAATACACCCTCCTTAGATGCAGAAAAAGTATACATTGTCTAACCAATTCGACTAAACTCAAATCATTCATAAGCATATATATGTACACATGTATGTGTGTGTGTACACACATATTGACACGTTCCGATCCCGATATTCTTCGAATACTAGGATAGATACATGCTGGCCGACACCCGAGGGTGACGAAAGTAAGAGATAGATGAGACTTATAAATATAAAAGAATAATGAATATGCATTTAAGGAATGTGTTCAGAGTATACAACTAACTAGAACACTAAAATAAATAATATAAAATTAAATGAAACAAATGATGGATCCCACACCGAGAGGACTCGAATATGCCAATGCGGAAATGCCTTAACACTAGGATTGCATGCCTCGATTCTAAGTCCTGAAGGGGGCGCAAAATAAACATGAATGGACCAAGTTAATATATATATAATAAAACAATTATCAACATACTAACCCCTAGGTTTTATGAAAACACATATATCATGATTAAAATAAGTTTTCCGAAACCTAGCATGATATGCAATGTCTCAAATCATATCTCGTATATATCGTAATCACTAGTAAATGTCCAATATCCCTCTAGGTCCCATGCCAGCTCCCCGTCTTTGTGCCAATTGCCAGAGGAAAATCACCCATAGGCCCCAAGCCAGCTCCCTGTCCCTGTGCTAATAGCCAGAGGAAAAACCATCTTTATGCCCTATGCCAATACCGTAACCGTAGCCCGTGACGGAATCTATCCCTCGTCCCGTAGCGGAATTGGGACCACTAGGTAAGTACAAAATCATTGAACATACATATATTTAAAAAGCAACTTGATAGTATAAAATCATCCATCATCTCTACTATAAAGAGGTGTTCGAAATATGTTCTAAATATTATATCGTCATCCATCAGATATTCTATAAAGAACACAGATTATAGGAAAAATAGTAATAATTCAAACTAGCCTCAACAAGCATGCTATCACATAAAAAGTTTCGTAAAACGTAATCATTAAATCATGTTTTTCATGTACTCAGTGAAATTAGGTGAAACAAAAAGGAAAGTTGTAGTACTCAGTGAGTTGAAGAGATTGATACCTCGCACGCCAGCCAACTCGTCGTGGTTTAGCTGGAAATTGGCTCAAAAGCCGTCGGACTTGTCGGTAAAACCGGGAAAACACCTTCAAGTTGTTTCTCACTACAAACCTTCACCAAAGCACCTAAAATGAGTCTTAACTAGAGTTTGATTGATCTAAAAGAAAGATTAGAGAGAGTCCCGAATCTTATCTACGTCGAAAAATCCTCGAAAGTCACTGGAGTTCGTCGGGGGAGTGTACATCGTGGCTGTCACGGTGGAGTGCCGTGCTTGGCTTGAGGGTCAAGGCCCAACGTCCAGTTGGTGGTGACTTGGGGGTGGTTTGCAGTGTGTGTGAGTTTCAGAGGAGAGAGGAGGAGCTTCCAGAAAGAGGGAGAGAGCATGGGTAAAGAGGAGAGAGATAGAGAGTGTTATAAAAATCAGAAAATGAAAGAAAATGAGAAGGGAACGGAGGGACAAATCAGGGGGTGGGCTCATTGGGTTCACCAATTAAGACCCAAAAATAAACTTTAAAAGAAAAAGATTTAGCCCAAAGTGAAATTTCATGAAAATACCTCATTCGTTCCAATAAAATCAGGACGGGTTATTACACATGTTACATCATAATACCATAAAGCTAGTATTATGTGTGAAAACACACATGCAATGATGTGATAATTGAGTAATCTTTTGGTGAGATGGCATCACTACCACATGATTTTGTTAAAATTTTATTAAATTTAACACTACCCCAGATCCATTTGCATGAACTATATGGGTATTAAGTTAATGAGTCATACAATGAAGCTTTGGGAGAGAGTAATTGAGCATAGACTAAGGCAAGAGACACGGGTCTCAGACAACCAATTCGGGTTCATACCAAGGCTTTCAACCATGGAGGCAATCTATCTCTTACAAAGATTGATGGAAAGATATAGAGATATGAAAAAAGGATTTGCACATGGTTTTTATGAATTTACACATGGTCTTTATAGATTTGAAAAAGACGTATGATAGGGTCCCAAGAGACATTCTTTGTAGGATTTTAGAGAAAAAAAGGATACGAGTAGCATACATCCAAGCTATAAAGGATATGTATGATGGAGCAAAGACTTCCGTAAAAACTCACAAATGATAAACTGAAAGCGTCCCCATAATTGTAGGGTTACATCAAGGCTCATCTTTAAATAGTTACATTTTTGTTTTGGTAATGGATGAGTTAACGGGACATATTCAAGATGATATTCTTTGGTGTATGTTTTTCACAAACGATATAGTGTTCATAGATGAAACTCAGGAATGAGTAAATGTGACGCTTAACCTTTGGAGAAAAGTGTTGGAATCTAAAGGTCTTCCCCTAAGTCGGTCAAAGACAGAGTATATGGAGTAAAAGTTCAGTGCAAACGGAGGCTCAACCGAGTTAGGGACAAGGATTGAAGATCAGAAAGTGCCAAAGAGTGACCATTTTCGCTACTTAGGATTTATTTTACAAAAGAACGGAGAGTTGGATGAAGACCTTAACTATAGAATACAAGCTGGATGGATGAAGTAGATGAGTGCATCTAGCGTGTTGTGTGACCGTCGTATGCCACTGAAGCTCATGAGAAAATTTTATAGGACATCAATAAGGCTGACAATGCTTTATGGCATGAAATGTTGGGCGATGAAGCATCAATATGTACATAAAATGGGTGTAGCAGAGATGAGAATACTTCGTTGGATGTGTGGGCACAAGATAAATGATAAGATTAGGAATGAGGATATCCGAGGTAAAGTAGGAGTAGCCGAAATTAAAGGAAAGATGACAGAAAATAAGTTACGGTGGTTTGGACTTGTGAAACGAAGCCCTATTGACACTCCGGTTAAAAGATGGGATTACGGGATAAAGGTTTAGAGCCAAAAGGGTAGAAGGAGATCTATGAAGACTTTGGAATAGACTCTAAGAAAAGACTTAGAGTACTTGGATCTAACGGAAGAAGTAACAGATGATCAAGCACAATGGCGTTCTAGGATTCATATAGCTGACCCTACTTAGTTGGAAAAGACTTTGTGTTAACACTACCCCAAATCATAAGGGAGTAATTAGATTTTCTTATATTACAAAATTTGATTAAGATGCTTTCATAAATTGCCAACTCAATAATTTTCTATTATTTAATATATATATATATATGTATATAAATGTGTGTGTGTGTGTATTTTTTATTTGTCACTTAGTACTATGGTCTAGTAATATTTCTGTTTACTTGTAAGTGAGAGGTTTTACGTCCGATTCTTACTAAAAGCAAATTTGAACCAATTATTATGGCTAACCCA